TCTCTCTCTCTCTCTCTCTCTCTCTCGCCCCAATCCCCTTGGGATGTTCCTTCGTTTCCAGATTAAAATCCAGAGTCTTATTGCCTTTTCAGGTCGCTGCGCAAGGAAATACCGTCATGCCTGCCCACAGGCTCTCATCTCAGTTCTGGACACTGCCCTTGCCCAGCCAGGCATCTTCTCTGGCTTTGTGTTTGGTTCTCGGGGAGAGTGGTCAGAGCCAGGCACCGAAACAGCTGGGCTCAGGAAGTCTTTGTGGGGCTTATTTGATTGGATGTGCTGCCTGAGCAGCTCGGATTTAACCTCAGAAGGTATACTCTCTGAATTGATTTAAAACTTAAGCCTAGAAGCTCATTTGATTTTGCGTGCAAGCATGTCAACTCAGTTCTAGCCAAAGCCTGATTCTGAAAGGGCTGTTGTTCTGAAAGCACGGTGTTACCTTTTGCTGAATGGACCTGAACAGAGGCCAGTAAGAAGCCTCGTTCTCCTGCAGCTGGACACTGCCCGGATCCTGTCAGGTTCCCCCATGGAGAAGCAGTGTAGGCTGTTTTGCGTTTCAAAGGATACTTTTTTAAAAATATATATATAATCATGACTTCTGGACAGACATAAAATAAGCATATGTTGAAACCATTCTTGAGTGAATTTATGAGTGAAGGCAAACTGAGCGATTACAGCTGGTTGATGAGGGACTCGGCGTTCCACACCCACCAGGTCAAGGTGTGGGAGCACAGGTGAGGACAGTGTGTGCGTCTGGGGAACACCTGCACTGCTCTTGTTAACTGTCTTCGGGAACCACAGAGCTGTAGGGTATGCCAGCCGAAGACCATGGTGGCTGCCAGGGGGGTGCCAGCTGCGGCCTGTAAAAGGTGTCGACTCGTCCTGAGCAATTTATGTCCTAATTTTCAGCCAAATGCTTTTAGGGAGCTTTCATTATTGTTTTGATAAATTTAACCAAGCCATACTACCACTAACATGACCCTAACCTTAACCTACGGCTAACCCTAACCCCAGCCCTAACGTAACCCTAAATAAACCTAATGCTGGTCCTCACCTAGCCCAACTCGTAGCCTAACCATATCCCTAGAACTGAGAGGTAAAGCCCTGTTCTCTTCCGCCCTTCATACTTTAGGTTTGCCCCAAGGGACTGCTTAACCCCTATTCCTGTTGTCCTTTCTCTGGCAGTCAGCGCAGGACACCTCTCTCACCTGGAGAGAGCCACTGCTGGATCCCCGCTCAGCATTCGGCGGGTGCAAATGATGGCCACGTCCTCCAACACGTGCCGGAAGTCCACTGCTCTTGGTCAGACCTGTCATCGATCCCACCCGGGGGTGAGGGTGGCAGCACTGCTGGCAACCCTGGGGTCCTTCCATGTCACCCGCTCATCCAGCTGCTTCTAACTCCTGGGTCCTCTCCTTGCTTACACACCTGGGGCTGTGTATTTTGTTCTGTCAGTTACTGGAAGCATTTAAACCTTAAAGGTCCAAACGAGGGCAGCTGCAATCTCAAATGATGTAGTAAGACTAGCAGGAAGCAGCAAGTGGGTGTCATGGAAACCAGAACTGGGGAGGGAAAGCCATAACTGAATTGTTCATTCCTAATCGTGATGCTCCTGTCGTGATTGGTAAGTTTCATTCAAATACTTTATAAAAGCTGATATTATTCCAGCTGGAGAATGAGAAGTATACGTAGTAGGACAAATCTCTCCCTTATTTCCCATTGAAAATCGAGTTTATTTTGAATGGAGAGAGATTTGCATACACACGTTGTCCTGCGCAGTGGCTCATCTGGTGACTGGGCGGTTGTTGTAGCTTGAGCTCAGGGCTGCCCCCGACCACAGGCTGCAGCTGTGTGGTTGTATTGTTCTCTGTCTTCCGGTCTGTCATCCCCTTTGTGTCCACCTTTGGGAACCTTTCCAGCACTGGTTTTCACATTGAAGAGGACGGGTCCACAAGCACCCAGTTCCTTAGCCAGGCTTTGGGTGCTGGCAGTGGTGGGGGCTGCTCCTGGGCCAGGTCTGCCCCATCAGGGTCATTGCCAGCACCTGCTACACCTCAGGCATCCACCTGAAACCCCAGCAATTATCTTGCTTGAGTTTGAGTAACAGTGGCCTTCCGGGCAAGGTGGAATATTAGAGCTTTAATTATGTGAAGAAGCAAAAAGTAATTGCAATAATGATTTTGAAACATGGCTACTGGGTTATAAATAATGAAGCTATGGTGTCTCCTAAATTTAGATAAAATATTCATTGAGAGCAGTGATTAAATAACCTATAAAGAAAAATTTTCTCTTTCTGATTAGTGAAGTTCTTTAGGAAATGTACTCGGGGGACATGGGAAGCCCCGCCTGTATGCTTTCGTGATTGCATCCTGTGCCCACATGGGTGGCGTCCTGACCACTACTGGTTGGTTGCAGTGAGGTCGTTCATGCTGGCTCTCACCCTCCTCCTGCCCATGATGGGGGGAGGTGGCCTTACACCCCTGGTCATTGTTGCCTGGACATGGGGAGGAGAGTGAGCGGTGTGCCCCTCTTCACCTGGGGGCACCCTCTCCTCCATCAGAATGTACTGGCTCCTGCCCCAGGCACCATGTTTTCTTCTGCAGACTTTTAAAGTAGTGAACAAATAGCCAGCCCTTTGGAATGCTCAGGTCTTTGTTTCCCAGTGCCTGTCCCCTGGTGCAGGCACTGCGGAGGATGGACTGGTTGGGAAGGGCCCCCCAGAGCCAGGGCCCGTCACAAGCGGGGCACTCTGGGAGGCCAACAGCTGGACTTCTGTGTGCTACCAGCAATTCCCTTCATCCTTCTGCGGGGTGTGAGTGTAGATGGGCATTTGTCCACTTGTGAGGCACCAGCTGTTGAGATTGTGGGTTTTTCTGTGTTATTTCCGATCTGTTACCTGGTACAGATGGCCTGGTAGAAGCCACAATGGAAGGCTGTGCCTCGGCTGGCACTGAGCTGGCAGGGCTTTCACTGGGCACTAGCACCTGCTCGAATGTGCCCGGTACTAATGACTGGTGCCATTTCAGCACAGCGAGCGTGTCAGAGGTGGCTAGGCCCAGGCCCTGATCGAGGGTCTGTCAACCCACATGCATGCCTCTGTGCTCAGCCCTGTGGGTAGGCAGGCAGTCCCTGGGCATGGTGGAGGCAGAGGCTGGTCAGCCAGGGCTCTGGGCACCGCCACGTTACTTTCCATGCACAACACCCATTCTAGCTGGGACAGCCGAGGAGGTGCTGCCTCTGAAGTGTTAGTAATCAAGCCCTTGGCCAAACTTTGAGGTCTTTGTCTTTGTACAGCAAGGAAAGTATAAGTTCTTCTTCGGGGTATTTTTCATTGAATGCCCAGTGCTCCTGCTGAGCGAGTGATCTGGGAGGCCGACCTTGCAGTCTGGATCTGTCTGTAGTCAGTGCCAGGTTTGTATTCTTGCTCGAGTTGGAGATTGAAAGGCAGCAACACTCGCTCCTGTTGCTGGGCAGAGATCGGTGAAGCTTTCGGGAAGGGCAATGTGAAAATCCAGTTAGCCCGTCATTGCTCCTGGTCCTTAAATTTATGAAGGAAATTAAATCAGCGTTTGCTGAAGGAATGAGCACACGTAACGTATCACTTCTAATGCTGCAGACAAGGGCCTGTTTTCGGGAAATGCATTACTAAAGCTGCCTGCATCCCCGGTGCCAGGGCAGTGATGACTGGCCCAGTGGCCTCCGGGGAGTGCTGCTGGAGGGGGTTATGAGGTGGCCGCCACCCAGGGCGTGGGGGCTGTGGAACCAGGGCAGGACAGGGCAGATCGCCAGTGGTTCCTGGGGACAGAAGAACTATCTGGGGAAAGCAGGTGACACTGGACCCTGGGAATGCCCCACCCAGAGAGCTGAGGGCTGAATCTCAGGGTCCTGGGCGCCCCTCCATGCGCTCGTGTGTACTGGTCTGTGCATACACAGACTTGGTTTCTTTGTGACCCAAGAGTCGGAAACAAGGGTGGGTTTATTGGTGGACCGGCCCTTGCATCCCTTGCATGAGGCACTAGGGAGGCAGCACTCCTAGAGCCCAGTGGGGAGCCATGCCTGAGCGCCAAACGTGTCACTGAACGTGGGGGTCTGATGACCTTAGCCAGGAAATAGGAAGAGGGGTGTGTGTGTATGCACGTGTTGGGATGTCAGGGGCACACAACACCCAGTTTATTTTCGTAGAAAATATGAGAAGCATTTAATGTTGAGTGTTAAGAAGGTCTCAAATAGTGTGCTGTGGAGCCCAGCAGGGTGGCCCAGTGGCTAAATCCTCACCTTGTATGCTCTGGGATCCCATATGGGTACCAGTTCTTGTGCTGACTGCTCCACTTCCTGTCCAGCTCTCTGCCTTGGGAGGGCAGTGGAGAATGGTACAAGGCCTTGGGACCCTGCACTCATGGGAGACCCAGAGGAAGCTCCGGGCTCCTGGTTCTGAATCAGCTGCTTGGGGAGGGAACCAGCAGATGAATCTTTCTGTCTTTCCCTCTCTGTAAATCTGCCTTTCCGATAAAAATAAACGGATCTTAAAAAAAAAAAAAGTACACACAGGCACAATAGTCGTGCTGTGGACGGAAAGAAAGGGTGTGCCGGCAGCTTGATGCTCAGGTGAGGATATTGATTTCCTCGTGCAAGGCTGTGTGTGCTTTATAAGTGGGAGAGCAACACGCCCCTCCCCGAGTCACTGCTCCTTCCAGACGCGGGCATTCTGCAGCTCCCTGAGGGCAGCTGGACTTTTCCTGATGGAGGTCTGTGGGTCCCCAGGAGCAGCTCCAGGAGTGGTCCGCGTCCAGCTGCAGTGCTTCCCGGGACTGGCCGTCGCTCCCGCTGCAGGCTGGGAGCTGCTGCTCCCACTCCAGCCTGGGGACGGCTGTACAGAGTGTGTATGCACTCGTGCTTGGGCAGGCACCTAGAGAACACTGTCAGATTGAAGACCTCTCTTTAAAAAAAAAAAACACACAAGCCAAGTAAAGCGATTAAAATTCTTGAAACTTCTCTCCTTGCAGCTCAAGGCCAGGTATTATCAGCTGCACCAAGAGCCACACGCTTGACTAGGTGCGTGAACCCGCAAGCACGCCGACAGATGGCTAAATGAAGTGTCCGTCGCAGATGCAGCCTGGCCTCTGAAAATGAGACCGCTCTGTCAGCCGCATCATCCGTGGCCAGGATATTACAAAGCATGGTGAGTGCTGGTCCTGTCCCTCTGTCACCAACATGGGACAGAAATCACAGCACTCAGCTTTCTTTTATTAATATATCCCAGCAGAGATGATAAATGGCGAATTTCATTTTATTCTTAAGGTCATGTTTTGGATAACGAGACAACCAATCGATCAGGTGATTGATAACCCTGATTCTCTTCCACAAAAACAGGGTGGGGATCAAAAGGTACCTTCTCGAAGATGACAGGAGATAATGCTTGTGGGGCAGCTCACCATGGGGAAGCTCTGTGTCACTTTGTGCAGGCATTTGCATCCCGAGCCAGAGCAGAGGGGGGCCCCTGGGGTCCCCGTGTGAAGCCCCCGTTGCCCTGGTGCAGGAACAACATTGGCAGGTGACCCCAGCAGTGGCCCTTCCCTCTGTATTCTGAGGCTGGCCCTTGTGAGGTCCTGAGACCCAAGTGGCAGTCTCTGAGTGCACTCCGGCCGTGGGATGCACTCGTGCCTTCCTGACCCCTACCTGGCTCCCACTCGGAGCACGTGGAGCTGGGCCCTTTCTCAGACAGGGCAGGAGGAGAGGATGACAGTCATGGTGGGCCTGTGCTTGTTTGTGTCACCGGAACTGCTCCTGACTCAAGGTGGAGGGCCAGCTGTTTCTCCCCAAGCAGGGGCAACGTTATGATGTAGTTTCAGATTACCGATCATCTCCCTGGGCTGCCAGTGCTGACAGTCCAAACACCTGCACATAGTGTGTCAACAGCAGAGGACTGGGAGAGGCTGCCTTTGGGCAGGGCAGAGTGAGGCCACAGCCTCTTCTGCTAGCCTGTGTCTGCACCAGAGAATGCTCCCTGCGTCATCTGGAGTGTGAGTAGGCAGCTGTGGCCACACTTGCCTTATGGGACTGGGAAATATTTGGGCTGCTTGAGCAGAAGTCGGGGAGAAAGGCCAGGTCTCAGGAGGTGGTAATCACGACTGGGCGTGATCGAGCTTTGCCCTGGGCGTGGCATGTCAGGGCTCTCATGTCCAGCTTGGCCCCAGGTTCCACTGGGATCTTTGAATTTGCTTCCAGTTGGAGAAGGAAGATGAAACAAAACACTCAGAAAGCATGGACAGGGGTGCCAGGAAGAAGTGTCCTGGGGTGGGGGCGTCAAGGCTGGCGAGCCTGGCCCAAGGTGTACGTTCCATCCCCTTCTCTGCCTCTGCGACTGGTGGCAGCATGTGGCGGCCATGGCAAGAGGGGCCTGTGTTGCCCTACACGTTTCAGGAACAGAATGAGACCTCTGCCATCAGCACTGCACCCTGTCCCCCCAGCCGCCCCCGCCGCTGCCCACGCTTGTGTCTCGTGTTCATGGCCACAGCATGGTGGGCTGGGTGCAAGATGTGAGCGCTCCCTCATGGTGGGATTGGGGGCGCCTTCTGGGGCTGCTCTGCTGGGGCTCCTGGCGTGGGTGCCGCTCCGAACCTAAGCAGACATCATCGTGCTGAGTGGATGACAATGGCTTCAGCAGCCCAGCTTATTAGTGTATGTGAATCTGTTGGCGAGGAGAAGCTGAGGGCTTGAGGCACCATACCAAAAATATTTGTTTCATCATGTCCTCTGTTCAAATAAACAGTACAATTTGGTGAAAACCTTGGGAACAGAAGGTTCTGGTTGCACGCCTCGGGGCAGGCAGGACATCTATGGGTGTATTCATCGACTTTCCCGGATCATACATTGAGCTTATTTGTCAGAGTCCATTAAGCTGGCAGACAGGATGACATTTCCCGTGCATGTTGGAAACGCATGCTGGGCTCGGGGGAAGGTCAGGTCCATCCCAGCTGATGTTCATCAACAATCAGAGACCGATATGTCACCACTGAATGTTCTCATTTTAATTGTTAACCTAATGTAACGCTTCATCAGCAAACATTAGGGATGTTGGTTCCCGCAAACAACAGGACGGCTGTTGGAACTCCTCATCTCTGTGTCACAGCCGAGCCTGCAGGGAGCGTGGCTCGAGGGCCTTGTGGGCCAGTGGTCTGGGAGGCTCCAGGGGTCCGGAGCAGCAGTGGCAGGCTCACCTCTGCCTGTGTCTGTTGCAGGAGCTGGACTCCACGGAGCCTGTTTCTGCCCCGGATATCTGCGCCGGGTGCACTGCTGTCACGGTGACGGCCAAGGCCGACTTTGACATTCACAGAGAGGCCATGGCCTGGGGGAAGCTGTGGGCTGGACTCTAAAGTGGTATTTAAAGTCTTCTGAACAATCTGGAATAATAGCTTAATAAAGGAGAAAGAAGGTAAGAAAAGAAATCTGACATCCATACTATTTTTTAATTCTTTGAAAGATAAAGAAACAGAAGTCACAAGGACGAGGAGGAGGGGGTAGCGAGGCAATCAGCCCCCATGCGCTGCTGTCCACTCACGCGCTCGCAAGGCCAGCCGCCCCAGAGAGCCAGCATGTGCTGCATGCCAGCGTGTGTGCTAGCCGGAAGCTAAAACTGGGACTCGAACCCACATGCTGCAGTGTGGCGTGCCAGCATCGTAACTGCGGGGCCGACTGCCAGCCTGACACTGGCGCTCCGCGTCGGCTGAGACGAGTCATTTTGCTTTTGCCGTGGAAGACGTCTCTGACGGCTGCTTTTACCGAGCGGGCTCTGATCTCCATGCTCTCTTGTGCATCGGCTTCTGTGCCTTGCAGTTTCCTGAAACGAATCAATCATGGTGGCGCACTGCTCTCACACGGGACGAGACTGGCTGCAGGGAGACCCCAGCAGGAGACCCCGAGCCGGGCTCGCAGGGCAGTTGTGGGAAAAGCACATTAGCTCCCCTCCCCAGGGTGGGCGTGTCTCGCTGGGCAGACCCTTGTTTCTAGACTGTTCCCCAGCGACAGCCAGGCTGCACTGAGCCGTGGAAGCCTCTCTGGATTGAAAAGCCAGGTCCCGCTGCCCTCGGTGCTGCCTTTGTTCTTTTCTCCATACGTTGCACACAAGGCTGCTTGTTCATGAATATTCTCATTTCTCTGACCTTCTCTCCCGTCTCCCAGGATATGATACCCCAGCCTCTGCCGGGTCAGGATGCGTCCTCGGCCAGCTGGAGCCCACACTGTGGATGGCGACACGGTTAAGCACTGCACCGCAGCCTCCCCGGGGGCGACACTGACACGGGCCAGCACTGCGGGTGCTGGGTGCTGTCCGAGAGCCACGTGCACAATGCCAGCTTGCGGCGTGCAGGTAAGCAGAGCCTCTGCAGGGGCACGCACAGACACACGGAGGGCCTCTCGGCAGAAACAAAAGGAGGGCTGCAGCCGAGCCGGCCAGAATCTCATGCGAATGCAAATTGGCATCTTTTGGTCGCTGCTGAAATAAAGGTGTAAGTGGCTCCAGGAATGCTGAGAATCTGGCTCATTCTGCCTGCTCACCCCCAGTCTGGCCTGTCCGTGAGCTGGCCGGGATTCTTGGGGACCAGTTAACGCAGCTAACCTGATGCTCATCTTCTGTGGGTTTTTATAGGGTCTGCATGGAGTGCTTAAACACCTTTGTGAGTCCCTGAGGGTAGGCGGAAGGGTTAAACATCCACCAGCCCCCCTCTCCTAGGCAACTGGGAGGTGTGTGTGGTGTCAGTGGGAGGCGTGGGGCAGGCTCACAGCAGATGGCAGCCCTGCTGCTGGTGACCTGCCTGATGATGAAATCCTTCTAGGCCTTTCTTCAGCTCTGTGCCTGTGCAGGCTGGTGGACCTACCGTGTCACCTGGGCCGGGGCCTGACTTGACCAGCCACCGCCAAGGGCTGGGCCTGGGCTCAAATGCAGCCTCAGTCCTACAGGGAGGGCTTTCTCTGCAGGACTGAGGAGTCATGACCTGGAGAAGCCAGCTCCCGCAATCCCCTGCGGGGCCTGGAGCAGCTTGCCTGCTGAGCCAGGCTCCCTCCTGCACCCAACAGCAGGCTCGGCTCTGAGACGCAGGGGTGCACTCCTGGGCTCCTGCACACGGTCATGGTCACTCACATGCACTCCATCCTACAGTCATGCAGCACACAGGAGGGCTGAGGTGGGAGGCTGAAAGACAAGGCCCCTGGGGGACACTGTGAAGCAGGCGCTGACCAGGGCTAGCAGGAGTGTTCACCTGGTAGGACCAGCTACAACTCATGCGTGCGGTGGGGCACAAAACCTGCAGGATGGGACAGGGAGGTGACGGGGCCACTTCGAGACTGCATGCTTTTATTTCTGTCTCTCCCTAAAACAGTTGGTTCCATGAAGCCAAGAGGAGAGAATATCTTCAAGCATTCCTAGTGGGAGAACACGGCAGGCTGGAGGCTTTGCTGGAGCTCGCCGAGTAAATAACGCCCTACCGGGGGATATGAGAAGGCAAATTAGATGGAATAATTCTTAATTTTCCTGCCTTGTAATTGATTTCTAAGCTGGCAGTACCAGTGTTCTTTTGGATAAAGAGATTATGTTTTTATTAAGGTATAAACTGAACTCCAGGGCTTACATTGCGAAGGCATGGTCCCCGGGGAGCCATCATTCGCGGATGGAGACAGGGCTCACGTCACGCTGAAACGAGACCGCACTGCCGCTCTCGAAGGCAGCTGATGTGAACCACATACCTGATGAATCACCGCCTCTCCACTTCTCCCTGTTAATCCGAGCGAGTTTTTGTTGAAGCGTTCTGGAACATTCTGAGAATGGCTTCTCAGTAAGGGTACATCGTGCTTTTACGTAGTCAAAACTCTTGGAAAAATGAGGCCACTGCCAAGGGCATAGAGGGGGGCTCAGGAGCGCCGCTGACCCCGTACTAGTGTGTCCCATGGCCCGCGTGGCTGTGTCTGCCGGCCTAAGGCAGGACCTCGTTCCCACTTAGCTCAGATTTGCCTTCCTGCTCAGTGTCCGCTTGTCTTACTCACAGCCAGAGTTCTGCGGAGAGCTTCCCGGGGCCGGAGCTCCGGGGGAGAGCCAGGACAGCACGGGGAGCCGCCTGGGGCGGGGGTCAGCCGGCCTGGGTGGGATGCTGACCGGTGCCCGCCGTGCGCCCGGCTCTTGCACGACGGGCTCGCGCCCTCTGGCGGCGCACGGGCCGAGCGGGTGGCCGGGCGGTGGCCGGCGCTACGGGCCATCGCGGGCACCACCGGCCCGGACAGTTGGTGCTGCTCGATTTCCATGTGGTCCCCGGGACTCGGCGCTTCCTCATCCAGCCTCCTCCCAGTCGCTTTTTCATTTCCCGGGCAAAAACAAGGCCGTTTATTTTCACAGCCTAACCGGGAGAGCCAGCAGCCCCGCGCGCGCCTTCGCTCGCGCCTTCCCGGCTTCTCCCCACGCGGGCTGGCCTGGGCGGTCCGCTGCTCCCTCCCCCGCAGCTCCCAGGCAAAGGAAAATAGAGGAACTTCGCAAGGGGTCTTGTGGGACTGCAGAATACACAATTGTTTTCTCCACTCCAGGCGGCTCGGTGGGCTCTGCGGGCTTCCTGCATGGCGCCTCCAGGCGTCCCCTTGCCGGGGCCCCGGCTTGGACACGGAAATACGGAACCCTGTGACCGTATTGTCAATTGCAGGGCAGGATTTTCTTCTTATTGTTAAGGTGCATGTTTCAGTGAAGGAAATTGTGGATAAATAAGTTCGTACGTGAAATGCTTTATTTAAACAACGATGCAGGTCTTTTTTTTTTTCAATTCAAGTCGGATTTTTAGCTTCACTTTTAAGGGAAAAATTATGTAATTAGCAAAAACTCCATTGTAGGAAAATTAACCCTCTTTTCTGTGGATTTAACACCAGCTGAATACTAGACAAAGAATGTTTTTTATTTGAAATATTGATTTTAAGATAATCTGATAACATTAAAATCTTACAAAGATTATATGTCCCAAAAAGTAAAAGGGACGTGTTGTGAAATTCAGAAGCTTAAGCCAAATGCATTTCTCCGCCGCCGTCCGCCTTACTCACGTCCATTTAGGAAATGGCTTTGTATGTGACTCGGGTATGAATGTATTGCTGTATATTTAAACATTTTTTTCTCTGCATTCTAATGATTACGCCCGGCAAAAAATATATATGTATGCAATTCCCCTGTCCTTGTGAATTCCTTTTGCAGGTGGAGGAGTGCGTGAGCAGGGCCGGTGTAGGGAGGCTAGCTGCCCGCAGCCCCGTAGCTCCGCAGCCCTGGAGCCCCGCAGCCCTGCAGCCCCGCAGCCCTGCAGCCCCGCAGCCTGCAGCCCCGCACGCCGGGCTCCAGCGTCCCCCGCAGGCCGGGCTCCAGCGTCCCCTGGTTTCCCAGGAGCTCATCCTGCAGTCCCAGCACCCTGCTGAGCCGTGGGGCGCGGGCGTTGGCTTCCAGGCTGCCGCAGCTGTAGGAAGCTGCCCGGGATCGCAGCCTTTTCATCCTCCGGCAAGTCCCAGTCCCCCAGGCCGAGCCAGGAGTTCGGCCCTTCGCTTCCCAGGGCACACTTGCCCGCCCCCTCGCTAGGGTGTAGGACCTACTGTGTGCCTGGCATACTCTGGCTGGCACCTCACGCTAGCTAGCCTGCCTTGGAGGGAAGGTAGGCCCTGGAGCAGAGGCCACTGACCCCCCAAAAGGCTGAAGTTCATTCCCATGTGCCCTTTGGCTCCCCTGTCTGCTTGTTGTCATGGAAACAAGGCTGCTCTGGCCTGGTGCTTTTCTAGTAAGAGCTGAGCCAGTGTAGCATTTGAAGCCCAGAGAGGTTGATTTACTTGCTCAAGACACACAGCAAGTATCAAACCAAGATTTCCTTTTCCTGCTAAAGTGTTTTTAAAAGCATCTTAACTTCATGATGTACATTTTCAGCCAGATAGAGGGACACAGAGTGTTATTAAGGATGCCCAAGAGTGGGGATTTGCTGCAAACCCCAAGACCCTCCTCTCCGAGAAAACCACTCCATCCAGAGGGCTTGGTGGCGCCCCCTGTTGGGCCTGAGGGACATCATGGGCCTACTCCTGGCCATCCACCTGCAGGGTGCACAGGGAACAGAGCCAGCGTCAAAGTCACACCCAGGCTCCCAGCTGAAGTCTGTGTTCTGAGTTGGAATCACTCGCAGGAGAAGCCTGGATGCAATGTTCTTGTTTTTATGTTTTAATTCTTTACTTGAGGCTTACAGCAATCCATGATAAAGTCCAGTCTTGTTCAAGAAAAGCCGTGGATGTTTCTCCCCACTAATCAAGAAGGCCCCACAAGGCACGGACGTGAGGAGGGCTGCGCATGAAGCCACCTGTGCCTTGGAGACCCGCGAGCGGAGTGTCAGCTGCACAGGCCTAGCCGTTGGCTGGGGCTTCAGTTGGGCTGTCACTTGAGCACAGCCCCTGTCCTCTGGTGAGCCCTTCTTCACCTTCGGTCCCATTGTGTGCAGTCTGGCAGTCCTGGGCCAGATGCCTTAGATAAATGACCTGACATCACACGGGCAAGGAAACAGGCTCAGAGAGGGTGGGCCACTCGCCTGGGGGTGCACAGCCACAAGTGACCAGGCAGTAAAGCCTACATTGTAACTGGTCGTGGCACTTGGAGCCCAGTGCCTCATGGGAAGCTACTCTGCCAGGTTAGCTGCCAGTCAGTGCCTGAGTGTTAAAGCTCCCTGCCACCCACCTGCACGCAAGCACCCTTGCAGACACGGCCTCTTTGGCATTGCAGGAGGCACTGTGGAGGAGGCCAGGAGACCTCGCTCGTGTGGCTGGGGCCTTCTTGTCCTTGCAGGCAATGGCCAGCAAGGAGTGTGTTGGCCAAACGAATTCTCCTGAGCCTGCCAAGGCCACGGTGTGGGTCCTGCCAGCCTCATGCTGAGGCCGCGGTGTGGGTTCCACCAACCTCGTGCTGAGGCAGACGCTGCTGGAGAAGGGTGTGTGGCATGCTTTGCTGGACCGGTGTGTTGGCATGGACTCCATCAGCTATTAAGGGCCGTGACCAGGTTTCCTCCAGGAAAGGGGGAGTTTGACAGCTGATTTCACATGTCGTGCATAAATTCATGCACTAGCTTGTATGTGTGGTGTCTGTGGTGTCCATGAAGTCGCTAAGGAAGTGGCTACAATTCAGGCTTTGTGTTTCATAAACATGTTAGAATGCAGACTAATGTATGACCTTCTGGCAAGAACTCTGGTGGACGAGAACAAAAGGCGGCGAGGTTGCAAAGTTCAGCTTCGGCTCCTGCCCCCTTCTAATCTGTTTCTCATTGTAAACAGTGAGACTGTGTCAGTCGCCACCCTCACGGGTCACTGGGACCCTAATGGGACCCCACACTGAGCTTCGTGTTCTCCCAGGCACATGGAGACCTCGTACTTCTGCTCCAGATGTGTCCTGGCTCCGTCTCCCACTGCCAGCTCCCAACCCCTGGCTGCGTGCTCCTAATACCCTACACATCGCCAGTAATGCAGGGTTTTAGGGGAAAAAACAATGCTAAATTTTATTCTAATTTTTTAAACGTGCGTAATAACCATTGGGAGTCTACCAGAATTTCAGAAATATTCATCGACTAAGGTGGCTTACTGTCTGCAAGGGCTCATTATGTGATGGTTCTTTGAAACATGATTCCTGTTCTGACTCAAAGCGAGATGCGAGTGCATTTGAACACGGTTCTTGGCACACGGGACTACAGTACCTCTTTTCTCCCCATATTTCAGAAGTGCCGGTCACCCTCATCTTGAAGTTGCGGAAGAGACCACACGCGTTCTGCAGTCAGACCTGGACCAAGAGGTTTCCCGGTTTGCCACCCTAGACCCA